GGTACATTTTAGGTTAACAACACAATTACATTTCTCATTGGGAATTGTACCTTTACATAATGCATCTTGGTTCTTATTTTTTCCCCATTCCTAGCCCTCCCTTCAACCCCTCCACCCGCATTTAACTATTAAATAACTAAAATTAAATTAAAACGCTACAGATTTTTAACCTCCTATGATTTGCAAGTAATTGATATAAAAGTCATAAATGGTTATTTCAGGAGAGGTAGTAAGGAGTGATCCAAGATAATATAGTCCATGCGTTAGAATTCAACTTGAGAACTTTGAACCTGAAGCTTGCTCTGTTCTAGGCACTTGGGCTAAGCCAGTGAGAGTTATGATTTCTTAATATAATAATTATTAATGTGTAAATAAAAACACTTTCTTAGAAATATATGCTGATATGTTTTAATGAGTCAAAGGTATCTAACAGAGATCTTTGGTTGTGAGGCTTAATTAAACATTAACTGGGCTGGGGATTTAGCTCAGTGGTTTCACTGCCTGCTGCACAAGCGCAAGGACCCGAGTTCGATCTCCGGTACCAAAAAAAAATAAAACGAAACATTAACTCATGGCATCTGATGGCATCTGCAGGAGAAATCATTTTATAGGTTATCATAGTTCAAAAATCTATCCACACGTTACGAAACTTTCACTGTCAATAAATAAGAGAGCACAGAGGAGATGGCTTCATCATTCTGTTTTCAGTGGGCTTAAAGAGAAACTGAGAAAATACTAAAATTTTCAGGGAAAAGGACTGAATCAATACCTAAAAATAGTTCTATAAAACTCAGAATGCTGTTAGATATATTATACTGAACTTTTATCTAAGAGAACAGTGAATAATGCTGTAGGCACTTAAAAGTAGATGATTAGACTTAAATATTGCGCAAGTAAATGAAAAAAATCCACTGTACTTTAAACAATGTCTTGTTTTCCCACAAGTACACTGAAAAACAACCTTGACATTAAAAAAGTTTGTAGGTAACCAGTAGGCCAAGTATGAGAATGAATCAAGTTTCAATATAGCCAGGTCACCTGAAACCTCAATCCACCAAGAAATTTTTTATAAATTAGATGAATTTTATGATCAACTTTTAAATACAAATAAGATCCATCAACTTGTAAATGCAATTAAGATAAATGGTTTTTTAAAATTATCATTATATGCTGCCATTTCCACTAAGGATTAAAAAGAAAACATTTTTCACAAATGTATCCCTTAGAGATGATGGCACCAAGTGTTTGAAAATAGGCAAACTGTACAGATTTGGCCTTCAGCATTTCAGAAATTATGGTTACTGGATTGGTAGAGTGGGTCTTTACCTAGCAATCCTCATAGAATAATTAAGGTCTAGGGGGAGCATTAAGTCTTTCAGTACCGTATATATTCCTAAGAAGCTACATACATGAAGAGATAACTTTCATCTGTGTTGTTCATTGCTACATCCCCAGCACCTACAACAGTGCCTTCCATAAAGCAATAGGCACTAAATGAATAATTTTTCAGTATCCCTTGTAATATGAAGTATTTCCACTGTGACACTGTCATGTATTAATGGGCCCATTCAATGGTAGGGAGGGTAGAGAAATGAAGAAATTTCATAATGGGCCACCCTAGTCACTTTTTGGAGGGTAACAATGATTTGTACCAGATCACACAGCTGGTTAGTGACCCAAAGAGGACTAGAATGCAAGTTGCTTGACTAGTTTTGTGCTCTATGCACAGACTGATATTCTCTCCAATGACTTTGCAAACTATAGCCATAAAATGATGGCCTAGGAACATGTTTTGACTATTTATGGTTTGACACAGTAAAAACAGATATGCACATGATTATGTTTACTGATAATGTGCCACTCACTACAATGGCAAGTGTGGTTTTCAAGTTACTGTGCAGTTACATGCCTATAGAAAGCAGATATTATAAAATGTCCACAAGAAAAAACTAAGTGGGAGAGTTTCATAGGAACCATCACACATCTGATTTTGATTAGCCGGACTAGGAAAGTAAAACAAAGGAGTCGATATGACCTGTTTAGTGCAGGGTTCTCTTTCCTCTCTCAGACCAGTGAGGATGTGAACACATCCCCTGAGCTCCCCGTGTTTAGAGGAGTCCATATTAGAGAAATTCAAATCTTCTTCCTCCTTTCCATAAAGCAGGACTTTCCAAATTTGGCTGCTTCTCAAATTCGCCTGTGGGAGCCCTTTCCAATAGATTCCTGATCCTCCCCAAGAGGTCCATCTGTGGTTCTGGCTGGTTAGGCCAGAAATCTGTACTTTTCAAGTACATCAGGGGATTCTGATAAGCAACCAGGTTTTGGAAAACCCCATCTTTAAGGATTCTTTCAAGCCTGCTCCCTCCAATAGCTCAGCAGTCATCCATCCATGCATCCCTCATTTCCACTCTGGTTGGATTTTCCTGAAATCCTCTCTCCAGCAGCCTTCACAGTCCTACCCCTTTCGTTTGCCAATACTTCCACTCTCCCTCTCTCTCCATTTTTAATTTTTGTTTGTTTCTGGTTCTTGCTCTTCTGGTGTAGATGAAATATGATATTACCTATTAGCTTGCCATGGTACCACTGTCTACCACATTCAGCCCTTATTCCATTCTCAGGCCACTTCTGTCCCCCTACTGGGCCTCCCTGGTTCACCTTGCAGCTTTTCCCCGTCAATTCACCTCACAGAAAGCACACACACATACCAAATACAGGCCACACACACATCTGACACATGCTACATTCCAAGCGCGAGCGCGTGCGCGCGCACCCCAAACCACATACACTCAACACGCACACTGCGCATGCACACAGCACCCCCCCCCCCCATCCCTCTCCAGAACGCACAATGCTTCTACCTGCTGCTAATCCCCATCTCCTCTTTCGCTCTCACCCTTGCATTCCGCCATGGCTACTCGGGGAGTCCTGGGCCTTCGTGTCTCCTCTAAGTCTGGATCTACCCCCTCCCATACTCACCCCTGGAGATAGTCTCATTTCCTTTCTCGCACCTGACACCACCATCTCCTTTCCAGAGTCCCCAAACCTGCTGCCTTCTTAAACTCCCCCCCCCCCCCACTGAGCTCTGGTGTCCCCCCTCCCTGGGCCTCGAAGTCCCACTCTGCCTCCCCCGGCTTCAGCGCCTCAGCCTTCTTCCTTCAGCCCCATCCCAGCACTGGCAGCGCAGGCTGGGGAATCTGTGTTCCCCACTGTCCCGCGACCCCTCTGCAGTGCCCTGGTCCTCGGCCAGCTGGGGGAGCCGCCCTGCCACAGCCGCCCGCCTCTCCGCCTTGACGCCCGCCCGCCCTCCTCTGGGAGGCGCCCCGCTCCCCCTCTCCTCTCCCGGCCCCAGGCCCGGGCTGGGGCCCCTTCTTTTGTCTCCGCGCCCCCCGTCGCCAGCCGCCATACCGGGGCCGTAGAACTTGCGGCCTTTGGTCACGTCGAACACCTTGCCGTTGATGGCCATGAGTATGCGCGGGTCCTGGACGCCATCGAAACGCCGCAGCTCGGCTGGGGTGAAGTCACGCCGCTTGAGGCGGGGAAGTGGGGGCGGCTCATCGTCGTCGCTGTCGCCGCTGGCACTCGGCTGATCCCCGCGTACAATCTTGTAGAGCAGGAAGATGCAGAGGCTAAGCAGCAGCAGGTTGAGCGGCGATGTGAAAATCTCCTGCAGCAGCCCGCCGCCCTCCAGCTCGCTCGACTCAGCGCCTGTCGCCACCACATCCTCGGCAGCCATGATCTCTGGAGCAAAGGTTTGGCCCGCCTAGGCTGAGCTCCGGAACTCACTGCTCTCTCCCCCCTCTCAGCGAGCTAGTGGCGCGATGGGTTCTGTGACGGACTAAGGCTAGTGGGGAGGAGGCGGGGGCGGGCGGGGGCGGAGCCTCCATGGCCCCGCCCCACGGCCGCCTAAGCGCTCTGCCAGCTCAGTCCCGCCCACCCCAGCCCCTGGATCCCGGCTCCCCTCCCCCTGGCGGCCCTGGCCTCCATTGCCACAGAATAGAACCCACCTCTCAATTCTACCTGTGAGGCCTTTGCCCCAGCTTCACGCCACCCTCGCACCACCTCTTAGCTAACGGCGACGCCGCACAAATCCCTCCTCGGCTCTGCGCCCTTCCTTTGCTCCCTGCACCCCAACCCGGTGGGCGAGCCTTGGCTTAGCTAGCCTCTGGGGGTCCCGGCCACCTGTTGAGCCCCCAAAGCTAACTACATTTCTCTTCACGCTTCTCTTCTGCCTCCTGTGTGAACCCCCCTTCACTTCTCTTCCCCTCCAGCCCCAGGAGCACGAAGCCTTTGTAGGAAACTCATTTTCCATTTTAGAGATCCATTTTCACCTTGGGAGCTCCTTTCTGCCGACCTATCCCCTACTCTCTCCCCAGCCTTATCCCCAGGCTCAGTATCGGGGATTCGGGGATCAGATCACTCAACTCACTTTAGGGTCTCAAAAAGAAAAACCGTTTTGCAATCACTGATTTGCTTAGTCACAAGGCATCAGCAAGTGACATTCTCTTGTTGAGCCCCCCTCCCCCCTCGGAGTTCTGTCCAAAGTTTCTTTGGCAGCATTCTTCTATTTGAAGTCTGTCAAGCTACCCTTGGCAGTCACGGTTACTCTGAGCTGGAGCCCAGACAAAGGCGGGAGTCTGGACGCACCGGGGCTTGGACCCATCCTTTCCTAGGTACTTCATCCAGCCTTTGATGTGCCAACAGGCTGCACTGGAGCGGTCTCTAAGGAGGAAGGATTGTCTTTACCTTTCAGAGGCCAAATCTGGCTTCCCCTTTTATTGTGGCACTGGGAGGGAAGCAGAAGAAAAGATAGAGGGGAAAATAATTAAAACCAAGCCATGCACATAGCTGTAGCCCAGAGCAGTACTTTTCCATCAAGGATTCTGTTCACTTGCACATAATTTACTCCCCTTCTCAACACGCAAAAGACTTGAAGAAGGAATTGGCTTCTTACCTCAGAATTCTAAAAATTTCGGTCCAAAACTGCTTTCATCCCTCCCCTCTCCCCATCTTCTTAAATCATTTTAAAGTGTAAGGAACCAAACAATCTTTTTATCAGGCCCACGCATGTTTTTTTCAGAGCTAAATTTAGGATTAGCTGAAAAGGCCCCTTCCAAATAGATTATGAAACCTCTTCAGTTTAATGGTAGGGAAACAAGCTCAAATTGAGGGCCTTGGACTGTAGTTAGAATTTCATTATTTCTTTGTAAAAACTGTGCAGACATTTGTAAAAACCAACAAACTTGGGGAAAATATTTTCATTTGCAACTAATGTAACAAAAGTTAATATCCCTTAAGAGCTCATTTTACTTGATAAGAAAATCCTTAACATTTTACTCCAAATGGACAAAATAGAAACAAGTAGTTCATATGCAGGCATACTCATGAAGCATAACCATAAGAATAAGTTCAGTCTTGCTAGTTATCAAAGAGAAACATGGACATACCATGGCCACCTATCACAGTCCTCTAGGAAAGCTAAAAGTAAGAGTGTGGCAAGAATCTCATATACTGTTGGGGGGAGTAGATATTGTATAAACTTTTGCTATTCATAAAAATTCTATCTACTAATCCCACTTCTGGGCATCTACTCTTTGACCCAATAATTCCACTTCTAAAGATCCCTCCCAAGGAATCCTTAAAATGCACACAGATATTTTATAATTAAGATCCTCATCATTTTTAATACACAAAAACAAAACAACTCAAAATGTTTAGCTTCAAATTAAATGGCTAATTAATTCATTTTAATTGTGTAAAACCATACACTGGCCATCCAAATATTGTAATGACATTGGAAAATGCTTATGTTTTAATCTTAGGAGACCAAAACAGAATGCAAAACTATATTTAGTGTGAATTCAACTATGTCTAAAAAAATGCATAAAAGGAAGCCTAAAAGGAAATGTGCTAAAATGTTAATTTTTGTGACTGTTAGTTTCTTTATGCTTTTCTATGTTTTCCACAATGAGCATATGCCACTTTAAGCTTGGGGAAAATGGTTTGTTATTTCTTTTCTAAAAAGAACATAGAATGAAGCTGGGAATGGTGGTGTATACCTGAATCCTAGCACTCCAGGATGCTGAGGCAGAAGGATCTCAAATTTGAGCCCAGCCTGGACAATTTAGCAACTTAGTGAGACCCCGTCTCAAAATAAGAAGACTAGAGATATAGCAGTGCAAAGACACCAGGGTCAGTCTCCATTAAAGAAAAAAAATATACAATGATAATAAATGTTCATTATAATAAACTTAGGACCTAAATGTATAATGCAAAAAAAGGGGACACTTAGTTTTTCCTCCCAGGTCTCTAGACAATCTTTAAATCAGGTCCATATATTAACAGTTTGGTTTGGATTTTGCTGATATATGCAACATATAGACACATATACATCGATTTTGTTTTACAAAACTGGGAGAAATTGTAAATAATAAAATATCCTTTTTTTTTTTTTAAATAAAGGGAGATGCAATGTAAAAAGCCATTATCTCTGCACCCAGATAGCCCCTGTTGGAATTTTTTTGAAGTTTTATTTGTTAGAGGTTAGAAAAGTCAAACTATGGAAACATGCAGAAGATAATTAAAGCCCCTCTCCTTACTCGTGAATCTCTTTCCTCAAAGATAACCACTAGTAGAAGTTATTTTTGTAGAGGACTAGGGAGGATTTGTCATTCTTGTTTATCACAGTCCAATGTCCTTTCTGCTACACCTCTGTATCCCCTTGAACATAGAGGAGGTCTGGTTTCACAGGGAGAGTAAAAATTTGTGCAATTTAAAACCTTGAGAAGGGATACAGTTTGAAAATATGACCGCTTTCAAGCCAGAATTGATGTTAAATAAAGTGGGCTATTAGAACACTGGAACAGTGAGATTGCTGAAAAGTCCATTCTGGGTGGATAAGTCACACTGGGGTGGCAGTTTCCAAGTTCATGTATCTGGGAAGTAACCAAGGATGCCCCTGATTGAAAAGCCCTTCTCAGAATGTAAGAGTTGCATCATATGTGGTCTTTGGCTTCAGGTCAATTCCTATAGTTTATGTACTTGACCTGAAGACTACTTATCTCCCAAGATACAGGTTAAATCTTTTAATATTTCCAAACTTTCTGCCTCCTTTAAATTATGTTGAAAGGTTGTAAAGAGCCTCTAAAGAAAAAGAGCACAATTTTCTCATTAGCTAGAAAATGTATGGGAAATAATTAAATCTCATTAGAAATCAAATAAATCATAATATAGTAACAGTGTACCAGTTTTTATCATTCAAATTACTGGAGTGTTTTTTCCTTGACATTTTTAAGATTGGTAATATTTGGTGTTGGCAAGCGATATAATAAGATAAGTACTCTGATACACGCTGGTAAAAGTTAAATTGTTAGAATGCAAAATTTGTTTTGTTCACTGATATACTTCAAGCCCCTGGACTATGTCTGGCACATGGTAGACACTCAAATAATATTTGTTGAACTTAAAATTATACTGTAAGTGGGTGCAGGATCTTTAGAAAGCCATTTAGCAATATGCAAGAAATACCTCAAATTTTTCCTACCTTGTGGCTAAGAAGAAATTTAACTTCTAGGAATTTTTCCTGGGGAAGCATTCAGAGACATGGACAGAGATTTGTGTAGAAGATTACAAAGCATGATATATTATAGCAAAACTCTGGAAACCACCTAAGTTCCCCAAGGTTCTTATCTATTTGAATAAAAAGCAAAGTTGTCACAGTATCCTGCAGGGTCCTATAGGGTCTGTACTACCTCACCAACCCTTACCTTTAAGACTGCACTTAGCACTTCCTCTCTTGGTCACTATGCTCCACCTTCAGTGGCCTCCTTGCTGTCCCTTGGACAAGTAGGCATACTTCCAATTCAGGGGCCCTTGTATTTGTGATTCCTTTTGTCTGGAATGCTCTTCCAAGATGTCTCACAGGTCGTACCCTCACCTTTTCTAATCTTGAAACACTCCCTTCCACTCCTCAACCCCTTTCTCTGCTTTATTTTTCCCTATCACATTTAATGCTCCCCAATATATGCTATCATTTCCCTTTTTTTTGACCTGGGGTCAAACTCAGGACCTTGCACTTGTGAGGCAGGTGGTGGCATCACTGAGCTAAATCCCTGGCCCTCATTTCCCATTTTTATATTTATCTCCTCCAATTTGAATATAAGATACCTGAGAACAAGACGTTGTCTACTTTCTTCACTGTTGTGTTCCCTATACTTAGAATGGTACCTGGCATATAGTAGGTGCTAATATATATTTGTGGAATTGAAGCTGGGCATGGCGGTGCACCCCTGTAATCCTAGCACTCTGGGGAGCTGAAGCAGGAGGATCACAAGTTCAAACCCAGCCAAGGCAACTTAGCAACTTAGTGAGACCAGGTCTCAAAATAAACATTTTTTAAAAAGGTTGGGGGATATAGCTCAATGCAATGGCCCTGAGTTCAATTCCTAGTACTGCTAAATAAATCGATAAAAGAATAAAATATTCATGAAACTGAATTTATCTGAATCTGGAAACTCATTATGTTACATATACATGGACAGAAAAATATCTGAAGGAGATATGCCTAAAAGTTAATAATTATCTGTGGGTTATGAGATTATGGGTAATTTTTGCTTTCTTCTTGACATTGTGAGCATAAATTATTTATCATTTGTAGTACTACGGATTAAACCCGGGGCATTTGCACTGAGCTACACCCTCAGCCCTTTTTGTTTTTTATTTTGAGACAGGATTTTGCTAAATTGCTAAGTTGTCCGGGCTGGGCTTGAACTTGAGATCCATCTGCTCAGCCTCCCAGAATGCTAGGATTACAGGTGTGTGCCATCATGCCTGGCTTACTTTTGTTGTTAAAAAGAAAGCTAAAGTGTTTAAAGAACAGAACTCAAAATTCCACTGTTACCAACTAGGTCTGCAGTGACAGGATATGGATCCACATTTTCCATTCCAGACCCTAGAGTAGGCAGCACTCAGTGCTTGGATCCTAGAGACCTACAGGCCTGTCTATGCCCACTTGGCCAGCCTCTGTTGAGCTCAGGCTCTTAGTGAGGCTCTGTGGTGAGGCTGGGGATATGAAACCTTTGCTCCTCAAGGAAGGAACTCACAGGTGGACAGAGTTCAAAGAATATACACACTGTGGCTGAGTTTCTGCATGGCAAGGGGGAAGTGGGCAAAGATTACTGAAGGTGTGATCTAGGAGAGCTTCATAAAGGAAAGGATATTTGGGTGGAATGTTAACAATTTTCAGATGAATAAGGAAGGGAATGGATTTTCTATGGAACCAGTGATTCTCAAGCTTTAATGAGGATCAGAATAATGTGGAGAGGAGGAGGGGACTTATTAAAATGACTATTCCTAGGATCAGCCTTCTTTCCAAGATTATGATCCAGTGGGTCTAAGGTAAAGCCTAAGAATTTTCATTTTTAGTAACAGCTAACATTGTCTCAGCATTCATTGCAAGCCAGGCAATAATCTAAATGCTTCTGTGGATTAACTCACATGAAACACTGTGAAGCTCATGGTTATATGAGGAAATTGAGGCATGGAAAAGTTACAAGAACTTGTCACACAGCTAGTGAGTTGACATGTCAGAACTCAAATATAGCTAGTCTGGCTGTTTGTATTAAGCAACAGTATCTTTATTCCAAAGAGTGAACCAGCACCCCAGGTAATTCCAATCTAGGTAAGAAACACTAACATAGAAGAAGCAATCTGAGCCAGGGCATAGAGGTGTGAAACAGTTTACCCCATTGTGAGAAACCTCCTATTGTCAGTAAAACCAAGTCCAAAGACCTAAGGACAATTTACCTATCTGTGGTGCACTACTCAAATTTCACCTCCCCCACACTTCAGAATCCAAGCTCTCATTCCCAGGTTTGCCAATTCTTTCAAGTTCTGGCAGCAGCTTGCCACCAAATCCTCCTCCTGAGATCACACTGGGTTGGCAGAACTTCCTACCCAGTCACACCTCCTTCTCAATGCAGCCTGAAGGTATTGAATGGTCAGTAATCCCAGCACTCTGAGCAGCTGAAGCAGGAAGACCCCACTTTCAAGCCCAGCCTGGGTAACTTAGGGACTTAATAAGACCCTGTGTCAAAATAAAAAAGGGCTGGGTTCAATTCTCAGCACTACGAAAAAACAAACGAATGCAGTCTGGTCCCAGACCCCAGGCTTTACATGAGGCCATTTTGCTGTTTGGAAGTGCCATGCTAGCGGGAGCATTGAGATTGCAACCAGAAGGCTGGCTACTGGAGTACCACCAGTAACGAGCCTTACCCCAAGAGAAAATGAGGGCTTAAGTCAAGGCTGTGATAATGTAACTAGCAGGGCAAACTTCCTCAGGCCTAGTGCATACCCCATACTGCCCCCCCACATCTTAGATGAATGGATAGAGTGTGCAGATGCAGTCCCAGGAGGTTAAAGTTCAGTTTCCTTTCCACAGGGAAAGGAGAGGGTGAAAGATGGCTGAGAGGGATGGAGCAAGGCTGGAGTTGCCTACTGTTTCATTGTATTCCCTGTCCACTCTCTTCCTTACTATCAAAGGCCCTTGTGTACCTGGACACAGTGAGATGGTGATTTGTGGCAATAAGAACCCCCCACTCCCATCCCAGTCTCCTTGGAGCTAGCTTTAAGTAAAGCCTTTCCTCTTTTCACTATGCCTCTGTTTTGGGGAGCAGTGAGCAGTACGTACCTAGCAGTTGGTAACAATAGTGACATAAATACAGGAATAGATAAGATTTATGGCAAGGAGTTGGATAGACTGGGCTTCAAATTCCTTCCATACTTCCCCCATTCCTTCTACATCCAACTTTGCCCCCAAACTTTTATTTGGGTGAGTAAACGGTGTATCATTTGCCAAGAGAAAGTATATTCAAATGCAGGTTGTGTCTTAAAAGGCAGTTCATGGGTCAACAGTGGTTTTTGCTTTAGCTAGAAGCCTGTTAGAAATGCATGATTTTGGGCAGTACCAGACCTACTGAGTCAGAATCTCCATTTTATCAAGACCTAGAGATGATTCAACAGAACATTAATTTTGAAAAGGACAGGTGTAAGGAACATTCTGGTGGAGATATTCAGTAATGTGTCTAGTCAGATTTTTGAGTTTGGATCTCCGGATAGAAGTCTGATCTGGAGAGGCAAAGACAGGCGGTACCAGTCTGTGGGTAGTAGTTGAAATCACTGGCATTGAATTACATCACAGCGAGAGCATAGGGCAAAAGCCTCTCCAAGCCTCATCGAGCAGTGTGGCAAGTCAAGGGTTAAAATTGTTGGCCTTGGTGACTACAGCTGGTTTGGACACATGTTTATTTGATCCTCACATTATTTTCGTTTTTATAAGATTAGATGTAAATGGGGCGGGGATTTAGCTCAGTGGTTCCTGTGCCTGCCGCGCAAGCGCAAGGTCCTGAGTTGGATCCCCAGTACAAAAAAAAAAAAAAAAAAAGAATAGATGTAAATGTAGGGAAGAGAGATCCTCTTTACTGTACCTTGGTTCTTACTTGAGTTCTTTGGCTGGATCTAGGAACCCAATTAAACACAAGATCTGATTAACAAGGGAAAAGCATAAAAAATTTATTAATTTTACAGGTACATGGGGATCTTCACAAGAGAGCAAAGCCCAAAAGAAATGACTAAGACATGATGTTTTTATACTTTTCAGACAAAGAACAATAAACTTGTGAAGGAACGACAGGACAAATGGATCGCTGAGCTAGGGTAGTAATTTTTAGGGGTGTTACTAAGAGATATTTGGGGGTGTTAGAGGAAGATACGGCTTACTTCAATAAGTTTGTTTATCCAGATTTATTGCAGCCCCAATGACGAGTCTCTGGTGATCAAGGCCATTTTCCAGGATAGGTATGTGAAGGACATCCCTCCCAAAACAATCTGTATGGCTTGCCACATGCAGGAAAATAAGCCAGATGTCCCTTTTTGAAGTTACACTTCCTCAAGTGATTTCAGCTTCAAATAATCAATATGCTAATTTGGCATATTTTGAGATGGTACACCCCTTACTCCTTCATAAGCATAAAATCAACAAATTTCTTACAAAAAACCCCCATATTTCGGATTTCTCCTAAAAATTGAACAAAACCAGGCATGGTGGCATGTGCCTGTAGTCCCTGCTACTTTTGTCCACCCAAAGCAGGAGAACCAAAAGTTCAAGGCTGGTCTGAGCAACTCAGGGAGACCTTGTAACTTAGTCACTTTTTTGTTGCTGGGACAAAAAACAAAACACTCACAATTTAAAGGAGAAGAGGTTTATTTTGGCTCATAGTTACAGTCCATGGTCGGTTGGTTCCAAGGCAGAAACAGCATGGCAGAGGCACATGGTGGAGGAAAGAAGCTCAATCATGGAAACCAAGAAGCAGAGAGTAAGGGAAGGAGCTGGGGAGGGAGCTCTAACCTTCCAGGTCACACCCCCAGTAACCAGTCTCTTCCAACCAGGCCCCACCTCCTAACAGTACATTCAGCTATTGTTCCTTCATGTCCCAATCAGCTTTCAAACACTTGAGGCCTTTGGGGTTCCCCTCACATCTAACTCTAAATGCTTTGTCTTAAACTAAAATTTTAAAAGGGCTGGGAATGTAGGTCAGTGTGTGAGTCCCTAGGTTCAATACCAGTACTACAAATGAAAACGAAAGAAAGGGTGGAGGGAGTGGGGCATCTGTGTGGTAACAATTAGAGGGTACAGCTAAAGGAAACCTACTTCTCCCTACTGTATCCTCAATGTTGAGATCAAGTATCAGTTGTCTTCTATTCATATTTTCTCTGTTTCTCTTAATAGCAAAGTTAAGTGGATATTCCAGTATTTTCCTTTTTTGTACACATGACTGTCAAAAATGGAAAATGAAAGATTGAAACCAAGGGTACCATTTCAAAAAAGTGTGTGTGGGGGGCAAGAACATATTTCTTTGTGAATTATAGCATATACTGAAACACTGTCCACACATCCACCATACTTGCATTGCTCATTCATATTATCTGGCACCTATAGCTTGTTAGCCAGTTGTAGAGAGAAAAAGGCCAAGATAGAATCTTAGGGAAGATTAGCATGGTAGGCACTGGTAGAGGAAGAAGAACCCACAAAGAAGATTAACAATAAAAACTCTAAGTAGTTTGACAGAAGTTGGTCTGAACAGAAGCAACAAAAGAGAGTTTCTAGGAGAGGGAAGTTCCCTACTGCTATGTAGATCAATCAAGAAAGTTGAAGACCACAGAGCAAGTAGGACTAGGCAGTTAGGAAGTCTCAGATTACTTGTTGCCACAGTCCTTTATTGTGACACAGGGAGAAGGGTCAAGCCTGGGTCTGGTGGCCTAGAGAGTGAGTGGAATGGGAGGGTTGAGATCTATCTCTGAAACAAAAATTTGAATTTGAATGTGTCCTCCAAGGACCTTAGGTCCGAAACTTGATTCCCAAGGTAGCAGTGTTGGGAAGTGGAGTCTAATGGGAAGTAATTAGGCTAGGAGGTCCCTACTGTCATGAATGGATTAACGTTGCTGTGGCAGGAGTGGATGGTTTATAAAGAGATTAGTTTGCCCCACCCCCTCTTCCCTTCTATTGTGGAATGACTCAGCAAGAAGGTCCTGGGCTGATGCAACCCTTCTGTTTGCACTTCTCAGCCTCCACAATTGTGAGCCAATATATTTCTGTTCATTTATATATTACCCAGTCTGGGATACACTGTTAAAGCAGAACAAATGGACTAAGATACTTAACAAAGGGGGGTGTGGAAGACAGAGGGAAAATGGATTTCTTGGTTTGAGTTTTGTTTTTCTGAAAGATGAAATTGATTCCGGCTGCACCAACGTAACTAGTACAAGCTTAGAGACTGAAAATACAGGACAGAGGTGGCATTATTCCATCCTGTAGCATGAAATGAGAGAGGAAGGATGAAATCAAAAGCATGGCTGGAAGGATCATAGCATATCCTTTAAAAGGAGAGGGAGAGGAACATGGAGACCTTGAAATTGAGGGAATTGTCACCTGACAGCCTCAATATTTTTCCATGAAGTAGGAGGTAAGGTTACTGGAGGAATTGAGTGGGGAGAGAGAGGGGAAGAACAAAGAGCTTGAGTGTTGGCCAGTGTTAATATTTTCACCATTCCCTCCATGGGGGCTCTTAGAAACAAGGAGAGACAAGAGAAACATAAGCATTATGTTTCCTAGGAAACACAGTGGTTTGCTAAAGAAATAGGTTGTTTGGAATCTTGTTAACCCATTCATAGCCATTGTCATTCCAAAGAGAGCTGCTGCATAGAGGTGGGAGTAGAGACACTTCTGCTTCATGGGGCACACCGTGGGCATCCCCCAGTAGCCTGGGGAAAGAGGGTATGAATAACCGTGGTACAGGAGACTTAAATAAAATGGGACAGATTGTCAAAGAAGTGGCAAGCAATAAGTATCAAAGAACAACTTCACTTTCTGATTCCTAGAGCTTGTGTGTATACATACACACACATACACACTCCAAACCTCTGCATGCTTATAGGTGGACTCTCACGATTCCTCTGCTGTGATTTGACTATAGTATGAGTGCCCCTCAACGTGCTGTATATTGACACATAACCTCCACTGTAAGGTTTTAAGAAGGTGGAAACAATCTGACTATAGTGTTTGAAGGTGGGTTTTGGGGAAGTGATTAGAATAACACAAAGTCATTAAGGTGGAACTGTCACCAGCTGGGTCTGAGGGTTTCCCAGGCTGAAATAAGGAATTGAACCCACCTCTTAAAATTAAGTATGTAGGTTCATTGAGTCTCGTCATGGAAAGAGAAGTTTTAGGATGTATCAGTAAAAACACACACATGAAAAAAGATTTATTAGAAGGAAATATAGAATGAAATCAATAGTGGAGTGCAGGTGCTCACAAAATGAGGCACAAGTTACCAGCCAGGGTAGGTCACATTTAAAGGCTGTTTTTAATGTGGGTGATCTTGAATGTGTATTCTCACTGCCTGCCAGGTTACAGTGCAAGCCATCTAAATGGGTCTGAAGTGGAGACACATGTTAAGGCATACTGTCTCTAATGTAGCTGATTTTTGGGCTGGAGGAAAAGGCACTTTGCAGGTGAAAAGAATATTGGGTCCAGGAATTTATAGGCTACTGCAGAGCATCTTTAGGAATGTAAAACTATTCTCTGTAAGGATGGAGGTAGGGGGTCACATGCTCTGGGGGGAGGGCCTTTAGAAGCAGGAAAAGAGCTTGTCTTAAAGCTGTAGTTTTTTTTTTTAAGTACAATTTTAAATTCTCAATTTCCTGGTCTCTCTCTCTTGTTTTTTAACCTAGTTTTATTTCTTTTATCTTACCTCAGGACCTCCATCATTAAACTCTGGTAGCTCAAGAGAGAGAGAGAGATGCCAGATGGAGGTATATACACTCACACTCCTGCCATGATGCCATACAGCCAAGAGGGGCCTTGCCAGAGCTGAGCTGATGCCAGGGCCATGCTCTCGAACCTCCCAAACTGTGTGTGAGATAAATAAACTTCTTTTCTTTATAAAGTTTACCTGTCTCAAGCATTTTGTTATGATAGCAAAAAACTGACTAATGCACCCACCAACTGGAAACATGTAGATTATTATGAATGAATTATTCCTTCTTTCATTTTTTTGTCTGGCAAGCTAACCAAACTGAGAAAATAAATATTTTTTGTTTTCTCTGCTGTGGGTTCATCACTAACCAAAATTTCTTTTTTTCTCCCTCACTCTGTCTTGACCCAAAGGTTAGCCAGGGCTCTGTGACAAGAAAATTAATACTTTACTTGTGTCAGGAAAGTACACAGGACTTTGTTTGATAAAGTCCAGCTTATTGAGAGTTTGGAGCTGGACTGTCTGAAAATAGAGGCCTTGGGTGGGTGGGTGGGTGGGAGAGGCAGATTGTAGACCTGTCCCAGAATGCTAGGTCCACTGATCCTGGGCACATGTGTGGGAGGCAGAGTCCCAGGATGTCCAAGATGTATGCCCTGGTCCTCTCCCCACCAGAAGCCAAGAGGAGAGCTTACATTGATGGAGTCCCACCTCCAGACTTAGTTGTTCTCCCCAAACTGGTACTGCTTTGTCATTTCTGGTGGCTTTAACATCCATGGGGATGAAGTACCTCATATCCTGGGCTTCTACTTCCTTGACTTCTTCACCTCTGACCACCTTTTCCTCTACTCTAATTAGCCACCCTTTCTAGGCCACATACTACATATCTTCTCCCCCTCCCCAATTTGGTTTCTTTTCTCAAAAATCTTGGAGAGATTTACATGGTTTTCAAGTTTATTTTTCACAGCTGTAGAGTACTCCCATGTAGAAATCAATCCACAATTAATGGACAGCCAGTAACTAATAACTTTGTAGTCAGGTGACCTATGGCTTTTTAAAACCAAATTCATCTTTAAGGGACAGGGTTTTCCAAGGGTTGTGATCTTGACAAAACGGTGTCACAGATTCTAAAATGAGTGAGTCAAAATATTCTAAAAAATGATAATATTACAAAGGTACTTGGAGGCATATACCAGTAAGTTGGACATACACATTCTGGTATATATTTTACAAATAATTCTCATTATTTTACAACTTATTTCTTATGTTAGTCATAATGCAATGGCTTTTATCATGTATCCTATTCCTGAATAAGGTCACATTGGAGGAAACTTTTCATTTCTTTCTGCCTTTCTTAAGAAATATACTGTTTCTACAGTATTACAAAAGCTCTTGTTAAACAAATAAATACTTCGATCATTTTCATGCCCCTACTCCCTTGATTTATCTTCCTGAGTTTTGCATTTTTAGGAGGTTTCAGTGCATAATATATGTTGCTCATATCTACCTGCCCTTATATGCCCTCCCCTCTCTCTTATTCCCTTCCATTTGTCTAATAATAGTTTCTCTTCTATCTTCTTGTTATCAATTTTAGATTCCATGTGTTAGGGAAAAGATTAGATATTTGTCTTTCTGAGTCTGGCTTATTTTGCTCAACATGATAGTCTCCAGATCCATCGATGAAATGACTCCATTCTTCTTTACAGTTGAATAATACTCCATTGTGTATATATGCCTTTCATCTGTTGATGGGAATCTAGGCTGGTTCCATATCTTGGCTATTGTGAATTGTGCTGCAATAAACATGGGTATTCAGGTATCCCTAGAGGATGCTGACTTTAATTGCTTCAGGTGGTATAACTGGATCAAATGATAGCTCTATTTTTAGTTTTTCGAAGAACTTTCATACTGATAGTGGCTATACAAATTTTCATTCTGACCAGCAGAAACACTACCTTTTCAAAACCTCAACTCTGGTTAAATCCTACTGTCTCTTTATTCCCTAACTGCACATAAACAGTAAAAAGACAGTACTGCACTCTTGTTGGTCTCATTTGGAAGAAAATTTGGAAAGGGAGAAGTAAAACTGTGTTTTCTTTCCATGCCAGGAATTGAACCCAGAGCCTTGCACATTCTAGGCAAATACTCTACCATTGAGCTACATTTCCAGCCTGGGAAACTCTTTTTATATACACATGCCATGATGATCTATGTAGAAAATCCAGTGGATTCTATAAATAAGCTACTAGAATTAATGAGTTAGAAAAGTTGAAAGTTACACAATTGATATGAATATCAATTTTATTTCTAGGTAATAGCAACCAACAATCAGAAAAGAAATGAGAAAAGATATAATCTGTGATAGCATCAAAATATGAAATACTTAGTGACAAAAGTACACATATTGTATGATTCTGTTTATATAAATATCTAGAATATTCAGTCTAACCTATGATGACAGAAAGCAGATCAGTGGCTACCTGTTGATAAGGCATCAGGAAGGGTTCACTTGAAAATAGTTGACTGTAATTCACCAATAGGCTATGTGTGCTGTGCAACAATTATACTAAGTGGTCAGTCAATTCTCTCTCACATTCTCATTCACTGGGAAGTCTATCACACCATCTCCACTCTCTTCTGACCTGTAATATTCCCTTTCTATTCTCCTCATGATGACCTTGCATTTTATTTCATTGAGAAAACAAAGAACCTGGTGTGGTCTAGGAGGATGAGGAAGGAGGATGGCAAATTTGACCCCAGCCTGGGCAACTTAGTGACTTAGCAAGACCCTATTTCAAAATAAAAATAAAAGAACTGGAGGTGTAGCTCAGTGCAAATGCCCTAGGTTTAATCTCTAATACTACAAGAAATAAATAAATTTTGAAAAGAAAAGAAAAATAGAAGCAATTAAATGGAAACCACTTACCCTTATCTGCATCTATATTCTGGCTATGGTGCAGGGAGAGTCCTTCTATCAAGGGCCTTCCCCTTGAACTCTGCATCAATTTGCCTCATGTATTTGAAAACCTTGGCTTCCACCATTACCTCTTCTCTCTCATGCATATTAATTTCATCTTCTCTACTTCATCATCCCTGTGTGCAGATAAACATGCTCTAGTATTTCTTCTCTTTAAATGCCTTCCCCTGACCCCAGATTCTGTATATATTTGCATATACTTGATGTCAATAGGCACCAGAATATTTACATGTCCCAAACAGAATATTTCATTTCATCCTTTTTATTAGTCTTCAGTTATAAGAAACAGGAACTGTTTTGTTGTTTTGAGGAGCAAAGGACATAACACAAAGAATTAAGTGCTTACAAAAACCAATGGTGTGTGCAAGGCCTGAGATTTGAATACCAGAACTGAAAAAGAAAACAAAACTAAAAATCAGTGAAAGGGCTGGAGGGACAGGCTATAACTTCAGGCTGCAGGAATGACTCCTAGGACTTTGTCACTAAATAAATAGTTCCACCAGGGTGCTACAACTTCTTCTTGCAGTCAGCAAAGTGAGTAATCAGGAGAACTATTGATTGCAAGAATATAGCACCATAGCTGCAATCCATTAAATCTGAGCCACTACCACTGCCACCATAAACTGCTCCCCATTATCCATGAATTAGTGACTGGGACACAGGAGCAGAGTTGAGTTGTTGCCATTACTGTAATAATAGCATGACTACCACTTCCCTTGCTCTTTCATCTGAAACATAGGCATACACACCTGCTAATATATAATACTTCATACGTGTAAGGCACTATTCCAAGTTCTACTCATATTATTCTTACTATTATATCATTTTACAGATGAGTAAACTGAGGTAGAAAGGTTAGGTAAGTAGCCCAAGGTTGTACCACTAGTCAGTTATATATGCAAGCATCCACCCCGTTTCTATCTCTAACATGCCTTTGTCAGAGTTTTCTGTGTAACTAAAATTCTCTGTGAGCATTTTTTTTAAACCCAATAGTCTTTAAGTTTATGCTTTTCTTAGCTCTCACAATATTTAAAAATCAAGACATTTCACACAAGTCTATACTTTCAGTTCCTTTAAGCAGGGATATTCCTCTAAATGCAAATGCCCCTATCTGCATTCCTCTTCCCACAGCCACAGCACTTGCTGTCCCTTAGCTGCCTAGCTCCCAGAGGTGTCTGTCTGGATTAGAAGCTGCAGAGGACACTATTTTGCTCCCACAACTAAGATGTACACTTCAGCTCCCCCACAACAGACTGGTGTTCTAGAGCTCAATTTCCCCCTTGGGAAGGATGGAGGAACTCCTCCTGTAGGAGTGCAGAAGTCCTGCATCCACCCAGGAGTCTTAGGCTGTAACTGAAAATGGATTGCTGAGCCCATCTTGACCAGCTCTTCAACCTCTCTTCCGTTTCTTTTTCTTTTTGGTTCTCTTCAGTGCTGGCCAACGCTCTCTTCTGAATTCTGCTCTCTCCTTCCCTAGTCCTGCCATCCTTCTTATCTTCTTCATCACTTACATTCAAGACCTCATCCTCTCCAGGCTGCTGTCTTTCTTCTTGTTTCTTCTGCTTCTTCTGTCTCCTGCAGTCTCCTCCTCTTTTTCACTTGCTATGCACACGTCCTCTGCATGCTACTGCCTCTTCTTGCTTCTAATTGCATGGGTCGCTGTATACTTTGGTCTTCATTTTGTCCCGGTACCACCAGCACACTCCTTACTTCTTCCTCACTTACCCAAGAACCGTGTCTCCTCCTCCTCTTTGTGGTGCTACCCCTTTTTCTTTTCCTGAGGGACTGATCGGATTGTGCCCTGCTCTTCAATTTCCCAAATCCTGTAGCCCCTATCTCCTTACTCCCTGCAGTTGTTCCCTCTCTCATTTAACTCCTCCTCCTCCTCCTTCTCCTCCTACTTTTCTTCCTCCTCTTCCTTTACTAGGAATTGAATCTAGGGCCTTGAACCTGCTAGGCAAGCACTCTGCTGTTGAGCTATATTCCCAGCCCCAAGGTCTTTTTCCTTCTTGGTATCATTTTTTCTTCTTGCTTTTCTTGATGTTCTGGTTAGTGTATTCTGAGTGTTCCTCAACTGCATTCTTTTCAGTTGCTCCAGGCTCTTCCTCCTTTTTCAGCTTCCTTTTCTTTTTTTGGGGGGGGGCGTGCTAACAGTCTGTAGTTGAGAGGCCCCAGGGTCCTGGCCTTTGAGATGAGCCAGGAAGGCCTGCTCTTGAGCCTT